TGCGCGCACACTGCCGCCCTCCATAACTGCATCGGCTCGCCGCGCCCACGGCCGGCGCGAGTCATCGGCTGGCTTCCGAGGCCTACCGCCGACCCGCGGCCCCGTCGCTGGGGGGCGCAGTCAGCCGCGAACGGCGCACGCCAGGGCCGCTGCCGCCACCGCCCGCGGGGCCTCAGCCGCTAGAGCGCGGGTGCGACGACGCTGCGCCCATGGCCGCGGGCACCGCGGCCTGGCCCGGATAGCCGCGCGAGCGGGCGGCGCAGGGCATGGGCAGCGCGGCAGAGCGGCCCATTGCCCGCCGCGGAGCCGCTCATCAGCCACGCTCAGGGAGCAGGGCGAGGGCGCGGACGACGGGGGCGCCGGAGCGGGGCCCCCCACCGAGAACGGCCCGCACAGCGAAGGGGACATTTACATCGGTCGGGGCAACACCAGCCCCTCCCCCGTCATGCGCCACGGCCTGGGGGCCGCCGCCTCGCCCTTCGCGGAGTGGCCCCCGACGGGGCCAGATCGGCTCGAGGCGCTCCCGGAGCGTGACGGCGCGACCTTCGGGTGCCGTTGCGGCATGAACTCCGATTGCTACGCGGGCGCCATCATCGCGGCATGGCGGGAGGGAAGGAGGCGCGCGGCCACGACGCCCCCTTCGCCAAGCCGAAGGCACAGGGCCACCTCGCTGCAGCGAGTGCATCGAAGGCCCGAGGGGATGCCACGCCGGCGCGGGCCTTCTTTCACCTGGCCGCTTGGGCTCAGATCTTCGGAAGTTCCCGAACTGGAGTGAGACCGGGACCGGCCTTTTTGGGATCGTGAGAGCCAAGGGAAGATGGGGGGGTGCAAAACGGGCCCCGTTCGAGCTGGCGGCGCAGAGACAGACACCTGGAGGGCACCGACCCGAGCAAGCCCTCCGATGTCGCATGGTAGGAGCATTACGAGGCGGCCAGGATAACCCCCGAAGGTTGGCCAGGGCAAAGCGGCGGGCGGGCCACGCAGACGAGTTGGGACACATCGCCGAGGGGCAACCGGGCAGCCCATCGCCCCCGCTGGCTAGCAGCATTTCCACCCGAAGCCGCGGACCCAAACACGGAGTTGAGGAAGGAGCTAGAGGCGAAAGTCACAGCGCGCACACTGCACGAGATGCACCCGCAGGGTGAACTCTTCGAAGAACTGCGGCGCCTCGACCAGCACATGGCCGACTGGGCCGCCCCAGAGGCGGCCAAAGACAGCGGCGTGGATCACCGCGGCGACTGGCTTCAAAAACACCACGCGGACGCGGCAAAAGCGGGCAGGATGATGCATGTCCAAGAGCAGCTGCTCAACCGGTTCCACGACAACTACGCCATCGCGGCGCTGGAAGTCCCGGAGAGCGCGAGCGGCGCGCCAGAGCCGACAGGGGGTGCCGAGGCCCGCGGAGAAGAACTATCTCCTGGGCTCTACGAGGATGGCACGAGGTCATCTTCTAACCCGTCACCGACGTCAAGGGAGCGCATCGGCTTGTCAAGATCCGCGAGGACGAGCGGGGCCATGCTGGCCTGCGAGGTCAAGGGCGAAGTGCGCTACAACACCGCGGGCACCTTTTGGCATTTCCAGCACATCAGAATGGTGGGCCAGTCTTCTCGGCGCCGCACCACGGGCGGCATTCTGCCTGTCGGGAGACGCATGGCCCGTAGAAAAGCTCACTTACGCCGACGCCCTGGAGGCGATCGGCGCGGGGGAACGAGGGCGACTGGCGACGCTCGCCACGGTCGTCGCACTCGGCCTCTTCGGCCCCCCGGCGCAGAGGGTCAAGACGCGGGGCGGCCTCGAGGTAGACTTGATCGGCGCCCACTGCGATTGCACCAGGCACACCATGGGCCGCCCTGAGGCGAGGGCGGTTGGGGCAGCAGCCTGGTTCAAGGAAACTATCGAACGCGGCGCAACCCGCGTTGGCGAGCCAGCGCAGGGCCCGGGGCGCCCGGGCTTCGCGGCGACGGCCCCGGCACGCTTGACTCGCCAGCGTCGCGCGGCAGGGCGAGAAGTGGGGCCCCCTACCGTGGGCGACCAGGCCCGTGCTGACGTGGATCTGCAAACGAGTGGCGAATGGACAAAGATTGGAGTCGCCCATCAAGTTCAGCAAACCGAGTGCGCCAGGCACTTCCGCCTGGATGCAGAGGTGGGGGAGGGGGGGCGGGGGGGGGCGCTGCGGGGTCGGCGGCTGGGAAGCACTGCGCGACGGCAGCGCGCAAGGGGCCCGTTGCCACGCGCCCGATATCGAGGTAACGGTTCCCAGGCAAACGAAATTTTGCGAAGTCCGTGGGGCGCTGCCAGAGGCGAACGCCTGCGCGGCGAACAGGGCGACGTCGACCCAGGCGCCGCTGACGGCCCTCCTCGTCGAGCTCTCGGAGGAGCTGCTGTCACACAAAATGGCGCCGAGCCTAGACTGCGAGCAGAACCAGGAGGCGGGCGATCTCAGCAACGCGAAGACGTCGGACTGCGACGAGCCCCTCAGGAACCACGCGGCGGCCGTGGACCTGAAGTGGCACGCGCTCGAGCAGACGACGCGGGCCCCCAGGAGCTCTGCGAGTAGATCGCCGATAAGAGGACGGCCGCCAAGGGCGGGGCACCCGCGGCGGGGCGCGGCCAAAATGGCCACGGGCGCGCGCGCCTGACGCCGCGGCGACAGCATCGCCCCACACTTCGCTACACCGCGCGGGCGGAGATGGAGGCGGCGGCAGCGGCGCGCGGGGCCCCGCGCGACTTTTCAGGACGAGGGCCCAGCGCGAGGCAAGCCCCACTGCGCGGCGCGACATGGCCGGGGCGGGGGGCGATGCCGTCGCGACGGGGCGCGGGGGGCGAGGTGCGGCGGGCGGGCCTCGAAGCTCGCGGCGCCCAGCGGGGGGGGCCCAGGGGCCGCGCCCCCCCCCCCCTTGGTGGCCCATTCCTATTTGTGAAAAGGAGGGGACCACGTTCCTGGAAGTGGCCCGGGCCCCTGCGAAACAGGGCCCCCGTCCCCGCCACCCGTAAATGAGGCATCTACGCCCCCCCCCCCCCTCTTTTACCACCATCGCACCGCTTATGGGGCAATTCGAGGATGCTCCTCCGCGTGTCAACGCATATGCGGGCCCTCTCGATCGGCCCGATGCCCGCGGCCATTTGGGCGCACGCAGGCGCTCGGCCGATGTCGAGCAACCCACCCACAGCACCAGGGCATCAAGTTCCTGAAAGTGGTTCGGGCCCCTGCGCAACAGGGGGCCCGCCTCAACCGCCTGTAAAAGAGGCATATACGTCACCGCCCCCCCCCCCTCTTCACTACCATCGCACCGTTCATAGTGCCATTCGAGGACACGAAAGCAGAGCTCGAGCAGCTCAGCGAACAAGACGAGGACACGGAGGAGGAGGAATTGCTACATTGACGCTGGTCTGTTCCCTACCTAGGCTCTGCCTAGAAGGGTACTTACTCTGTTAGCTTAAAGGGGCCGGGCAGTGCTACACGCCCCGGGCGGTTTCCCCAGTCCCCGCCCCGCGGTTCCCCCCAGTCCCCTGGGAGCTGTAGCTTTAGCTTTAGCTTTAGCTTTAGCTTTAGCTTTAGCTTTAGCTTTAGCTTTAGCTTAGCTTTAGCTCAGCTGTAGCTTAGCTTTAGCTTAGCGTTTCGCTTAGCTTTTCGCTTAGCGTTCGCTTAGCTTTAGCTTAGCTTGAGCTTAGTTCTAGCTTAGCTTGAGCTTAGCTTGAGCTTAGCTTTAGCTTAGCTTTAGCTTAACTTTAGCTTAGCTTTAGCTTAGCTGTAGCTTAGTTTCAGCTCAGCTGCTGCTCAGCTTTAGCTAAAGCTTCAGCTTAGATTTAGCTTATGTTTAGCTTAACTTTAGCTTAGCTGTGGCGTAGCTTTAGCTTAGCTTTTAACTTAGTTTTAGCTTAGCGTTACTGTACTACTAATGCTGCTTTCCTAGGGGTTCCAACTCCTAGGTAGGGTTGCACTGGAATAATTTTTCTTCGGGAACGGCAACTATGTTTGGTGATGGATTGCGTTTCGACTTGCGTCTGAGAGCGCTGCAGGCCCTCTCCACTCAGCCCACTGTCCAACCGCGCGCGTCCGTTGGCCAGGCCTTTCATATTGCTTACCCCCCGCGCGAGTAATTAAGTCGTCGTTGCGCGACGGTTGGGCGAGCCCTCCAGGTTTCCCCTACTAGCGGATTTCGGCCTTGCGCAAAAGTATCCCCGTCTAGGGCGATCGAAAATCGTCCCCACGCGGCGCGCACATGACCGCCGCATCCTGCAGGCGCCAGGCCCCGTTTCATGCATGTTTCATCGCAAATGCGTCGTTTTCGTACTACGCTTGTTCCCCATCTCCTAAGATGAGGATTTGGTTATTGATTCGACGGTTCCGGAAACAAGACCTCCGCCGCCTTGTCTTCTTCCTTTTCCTCAGCCAAAATGACCCACTCGTACTCAGACTCACTCATGCTCAGTCATGCGCAGACCCACGCATACCCAGACTTACTCACTCACATCCAGAGTCACTCATTGACTCTCTCAAATCCAAACTCATTCACACTCACACTCACCCACACCCAGACCCACTCATTTTCTGAGTCCATACAATCAGACTCACTCACACGAAGACTCACTCACATTTAGTCTCACTCACTCTCGGACTCACTCACATCCAGACTAACTCACACCCATCCATTTTTCGTACGCAGACCCAGCTTCGCTCATACTTATCGGCGGTCCAATGCTCCCCGCGATGAAGCACGCGTAACACTTGAGCACCCCAGGGAGAGGGCGCCAGGGGTGGGGACACTCCAGGATTCGCGCCCAGATCGCGGGGATGTCCAAGGTGGTTTGCCTGTTTGCGTGCCCAATATCCTTTGATTTCGGAACCGATTCGGAGGATGTTTCAGGCGAGGCGCTGGTTTCAGCACTCATAAAGGAGGGGGGCGGGGCGCCAGGTGTGGGGGGAGGGGACATTCCAGGATTCGCGATCAGATTGGGGGGATGCTTCGGGCGGTTTACTTGTCTGCGTGTCCAACATCATTTGCGTGGGGATGTCTAGGCGGCTTGCATGTGTCTTCCCCCCCCCCCGGGGCTTTTCTCATTTGGTGGTTCAACGTTCGCCGCGATATAGCAAGCGTAGTACTTGGACACACCCAGGAGGAGGCGCCAAGGACGGGGACATTCGAGGGTTGGCGCCCAGATGGTGGGGATGTCTCAGGCGGTTTGCCTGTTTGCGCGCCCAACACCCTGATCTTTCGGAGCAGGTTCTGGGGATGCCTCAGGCGAGACGCTGGTTTCAGCACTCCTACGGGGAGGGCGCCAGGAATGGGGACATTCCAGGATTCGCGCCCAGATTGAAGGAATGTCTCAGGCCGTTTGCCTGTTCGCATGCCCATCGCCGTCTGCTGTGAAAGCAAGGTGTGAGGATGTCTCAGGCGGTTTACCTGTGCCTGCACTGTAGATGGTTTGTCTTCTGATGATCCACTGGTGACAGCAATATAGCAGACGCTGCACTTGGGCACCCCAAGGAGGGGGTCCCAGGGATGGGGGCACTCCAGAATTCGCGCCACGATTGCGGGGATGTCTCAGGTTTTGTGTGTTGCGTGCCCAGCTCCATGTCTAACGCGAGTTGCTTGCTTCTGCCCCCTCCCCGAGACTTGTTGTTAGTCTATTGTTCACCGCGATATAGCAGGCGTCGTATTTGGGCACTCCAAGGCGGAGCCGCAATGGGTGGGGGCACCTCAGGATTCCCGTTCAGATTGGGGGGGGGGTCTCAGGCGGTTTGCTTGTCTCTGCCCCCCCCAGACGATTATTTGGATGTGTGTGTTCTTCACATACTCACCTCCTTCCCGTTTTCCCCACTCGGACGCACGCATTCGCATTCGGACTTACTTACTCACCAGCACCTCTTCCTCATCCAGACTCACTTATAACATTTAGACTCGCTCATATCGGGAATCGAGCATACTCAGACTCAGACATACTTACTCGCTCATGCTCGGCCGAAACTCAGACTCACTCACACCCAGACCAACTCACATTCAGACTCACTCACGCTCAGACTTACCAGCCCTCAGATTCACTCATACTCGGACAACCTTGCATCCAGGCTCACTCATTCTCATATTCATACTCGAACCTGCATTCACCACACTCGAACTCAGTCACACTCAGACCAACTCGCACTTAGACTCGCTCGCACTCAGATCCACTCATACTCAGACCCACGCGTACTCAGACTGACAATCACATTCAGACTTTATAGTACCCAGATCGACTTACACTCCGACTGGCTCACACTCAGATGACCCGCGCTCAGATTCACTCGAACTAAAGCTTTCACACATACACGCACACACGCAAATGGCTACCTCGATATAGCCGGCGTGGCACTCGGGCACCCCAGATGCCAGGCACCGCGAGTAGCATGCCAGAGAGCGTACGTGGCAACGCTATGCGTTCTTGTCTAAGTTGCCGCGGGGAGAACGGCGAGAGGATTTCCCCTTGCCTCTCCACCTGTGTTCCCCTCGTCTCTCCTGAAGGCTTTCCAGAGGAGGAGGATGACGTCACTGAAGTCGCTGCTGTCGTCGTCATTGCCGCGCCTGTCTACGCGGACTCGATCTCGCACCCGGATGTTCATAGAAAAAGCCCCTCAGCGAAACGTGACAGGACTATGTCATGCACATATGGGGATCTCCGCGTCGATTACTGGTCGTTTGTCGTGCTACTAGTATTACTATGGTCATACTGATGGTACGATTCGTTTTCCTTTTGTCATCATTATGATTCGTAGTCGCACGGCACGTGTTACTATCATCTGTGTTGTGATTTGTATGCTTACTATTGTGTTCACTCGAAGTTTCAGTTTTCGTGGTATTTGTTTAGTATGATCATTATGTTTAGCATCACTTGCATGAAGAATATTATTATTGTTAGCCTGCTTATTATTATTATTGGTCGTCTTCGTCGTTTTAGTGTTCTCCTTAGTCTTATATATTGTGTTGTTACTGTTGTGATTCGGATGTCTCTTACTCGTGTTCTTCTTCTCGCGATTCTTATTAGTAATACCTTTATGAATTGCCATCTCCATGAGTACTAGTAGTGTTATTATTGCTATTAGTATTGTTATTGTTTTTCGCATTAATTTTAGTCGTAGTAGTATTGTTATCATGCAGTTTCCGCAGACCTTGTTCTCGCCTTCCATAGTGCAGCAGGAGCTGCAGATCACCAGGTGCCGCAAGCGCGGGCCCATGGCATTCCCGACGGCCTGGGGCGGCTCGACCGCGCCCTGTTCAACTGATTTGAAGCGGCGGCGGTGATGCTGATGACTCGACCCCGAACACGGCGAGGGCGACGGCGACGGACACGACGCGACGACAGGGGCGGCGGCGGCAACGACGACGGCGGCGATGCCGACGTCCGTGGCTCGCCCCCAGGTCTTGCCGTGGGCCCGTGGCAGGGCCACTCCCAGACGGCCCAGGGCGGCGTGTCGTGCGCGCTGTTCGACTGCTTCGGCACGCCCCCCCTCGAGCGCCGGAGGCGCCGAGGGCGGTGTGCGTCGGGGCGCAGGCAACAAGGGGCAGCACTAACGCTGGAGGTTGATGAAACCCCCACACTGCCGAGTGAGATCCTGGCGTCTCGATGTTGTTGATCTGAGCGTTTTCGCCCAGTTTGGGGCGCCGGGACCCTCAGAGATCGAGCCGGCTTGGAAAGAATAGTGCAGAAAGATGGGGTCTGGGCTCCGATCGTGATTGCTCACGGTCGCATGTTTCGCTACGTCGGATCTCATCAGTGAGGTTTTTTCGGTTCTCGAGAGGGCGTTGCAATTGCGCCCGCTGGGTCTGGTCCCAGGTCGTTTTCGCTCAAGAGCGTTTTGCTAAAGGGTGTCCTGTCCACCCCGACTAACGGGGATCAGTAAGTATTCTCTGGCCGGCCTGGATTTGGGAGCCACGTGGCGGGGCCATGTTACGGAGGGGGCGTTCGTTAAGGAATGTGTCCAGGAGGTTTCAGACCCTGCGTGATTCCTTATCTGATGAGGGCGATGCTTTCATCCATGGCCATGCCTCAATTGGTGTCCCACCGGCCTTCAGACTCTGAATTATTTCTCCAATGGTCCCTGTATCCAATACCCTAACCGTACTGAGCCGCCAGCCAGGGTTCCCTGCATGGCCTTCTGTGGCCCGGGCGCTATATAGCCAGCCCGGGGCCAGCGCGTCCTCGAAGGCTCACAGAGGTCTTGCGGTTCGAGCCCCGGGGCCAGCGCGAGGCCTCCAGTTCGAGGAGCCTGCGCCAGAGGTCTTTCGCCGTGTGCGGCGTGCCAGTTCTGGGCCCCAGGGACCGTCAGGAACGACTCGGGGGTGAAAAGCCGGCCGACCCCGGGGAGTGACCGAGAGGCCCAGGGGACAGAGGCTCGATACTTGTTTACCCTCCAGCGAGGCCCTGCGGCGAAGCGGCAGGGAGAAAAAGAGGGGGGAGCAAAGGGAAGGGGCGACGCGCGGCCATCCGAAGCGCCGCGCTCCCGGAGCGACTCCGAGGGCACATGCACCGAATTCGCCTGCAGCTCCATCCAGGGGCCCGCGCCTGGGTCACGAGGCGCGCCCGCAGGGCCGCGCGCCACTCGGCCTCGCCGCCGCCGGCGCGCACCGCCGGCAGCAGGAGCAGCATGGCCGCGCGCGGCGGCAGTGCTGGCGCCCAGCCCGCGCATGGTCGGCTCGCGAGCCGCTGCCAGGGCGGGGCCCAGCAGCCGCACCGCAGGCGCGCGACCCAAGCTGGGCCCTGGGAGGCCACGTGCGGTCGCCGGGCGCTGCCCGCAAAGAGCGCCCTGGCCGCGGCGGCCCCTCCAGCACGGGGCGGCGCCGCCGGCGCAGGGCCGCAAGGCTGCCCTTCCTGCTGCCCCCGAGCAGGCGGCGCTGCGGCGGCCGCGACGGCTGCTTCGTCCCCGTCCCGGGGCGCCCGCCTGCGGCGGTGCCCAGGCGCTGTCCAACGCCGCCAGACCCTGGGCCCGCCCTGGGCCCGCGTTGCCGTGGTTGGCCTCGAGGGCAGTCAACTCCGCGGCGGCGGCCGCGCGCTGGACCGCCGCGAGCGCCTCCAGCTGCCGCTTGCGCTGCTGGCAGGAGAGTGGCGGGGGGAGCCGCGCCCGCGCGCCGGCGTCGGCCAGGTCATCTGCCGCGGCATTCCCGGCCCAGTCCGCCTCCGAAGCGCCGCGTTCCACGGCCCCTGCCCTGCGCAAATGGGACTTAACCCATCGGGTCCGGAGCAGCCCGCTGCGGCAGTGAGGCGCGATCGCCTCCCAGAGGCCGCCGCGTTGCCAGTCCAGCGGGCTCGCGCCGCCGCGCGAGGCGGACACCACTCGCGAGACGAGCCGCGAGTCGGTGACGACATCCAGCGGCGCCCCGGCCAGGCCGCACGCGCGCACCGCTGCCCAGAGCTCTGCGCGCTGGGCTGCCTGCCGGCCGTCGGCGGGCCCCTGGCTCTGTAGGCTCTCGAGGCGCCCGCCGGGGAGGCTCTCGAGCCGCGCTCCCCGCGTCCTCGGAGGTCTGGGTAGAGGGGCGCTTGCAGGCGCGGCAGTTGCTCGGGTACCGGCTCCCCCCCCTCTTGCGCTCCCCTCCTCCTTCGCATCCCCACGATGCCCCACAACAATCCCCCGATCCACCCAATTCACCCCTCTTGCGTTCTTCTCCCCCTCCTCCTTCCGATCTCCCCGCCCTTCCTACTGTCTCTCCTCTCGCCTCGCTCCGCCCCCCCATTCCCATCCATCCTCTCCTCCTCCTCATCCTCCTTCTCCTCCTCCTCCTCCTCCTGATCCTCCTCCTCCTTCTCCTTCTCCTCCTTCTCCTCCTCCTCACCATCATTCCGTAGCCATTTTGGCTCAAGCCATTTGGGCTGAACCTATTTTTTTCGCAAGCCAGGGACAGGCAGCTGAGTAACGTGTACGAAGGTCATGGGGCTCGACAGCGGCAAGCACGGCGGCGGCCACGGCCGCTACGACAGGAGGGATTACTACCAGGCCGACTACAGCGATTATTCGGCCAGCAGCACCCTGTCAGAGAACTGTAAGCGCACCGCGTCTGTGCGATTCGCCAAGCCAGCAGACTCCGAGCCAGCGGCGCTGCAGGAGTTCGAGAAGAAGCTAACCAACGTGCAGAAGGATTTCGCCAAGCAGCTGCAGAGCATGAGCGAGAAGGACACCGAAAAGTTCGATCTCATCTTCGCGATCCTGACGGATCTGCAGTCCGGCCAGGAGCAGATCGAGGAGTCCATTAGGGACATCAGGAAGGCGGTCGGAGGCGCCCAGAACATGGGCAACAACGGCCAGTTCCAGTACCTCCAGATGGAAGGCGTGCTGGGCCCGCCGCTGAGCCCAGGGATGGGCGGCCAGCAGCCGCAGCCCATGCAGCAGATCGTCATCCAGCCCAACGGAGGCCAGGCCATGATGATGCCGCAGATGGTGATGGTCGTGCAGTCTCCCACCGGCGGCATGATGATACCCCAGATGCAGCCCATGCAGGGGACGCGCCGTGGGGAAAGATGAGTTCCCGAGTTCGGGAGCTCGCGAAGACTGGTGCTGATGCCGCCTCTCTCCTCCACCTCCACGCTACCAGAGTGGCCCCTTGCGCGTCGTACATAGCTCAGATCCTCCCCCTCCCATGGGCCCTCGGCCGCACCGAACGCTTTTGGTTTTCGAGATATTGGAGATGTGCGGCCTCGGCCATGGGGCTGTCCGACTGGCTCAGCCTTGAGGCCATTGGTGGCCCGAAAATTTCGGCCCTGGTTACATCGTGCGCCGCAGCTCGGATGCGATGCGCACTCGTCACGCTGCCGCGATCATGGCAACCTCTGTTGCGCCGTCTCCGTCGTGTGGCGGAGCATCGTGGTCCCCTCTCGGCCCTGGACTCCTCTTCCTTGTCCCTCAGCCCCCCATTCTGGAAGATGGATGCGATTGCCGCCTTGATGGGCCACGCCGCCGAGGGCTTCCCAGGGACCCAGCGACCGCGTGAGGGGGGTGGGCCGACTTGGGAGGCGGGTGGGCGCGAGGCTCTTCGGATTTTCGGTGCTGGATCCCTTGGAAAGCGTCCGAAATGGCAGCGCGTGTTCGGCTCCACTCTTCAAAAACAAGTTTTTGATTGCACGATCTTCGTGACGTTGGAACGTCGCCTTCAGAAGTGGTGCGGAGAGCCCCCTCCGTCGAACGAGGAGGGCGGATGGGAGCGGCTTCAGGCGCTGCTTGCCTCTCTCCCTTGGGCCTGGAGACACTGCCTGTTAAAGACTTGGCTGGGAGCCTGGTCCACCTACTCTCGCATGCAGCGATGTGCCCAGTGCGTGCTGGGGTGCGAAGATAGCCGCGATTCGGTCGACCACTATCTTGGGTCGTGTCGTCGGCTCCATTGGCTGGCCTCCATGGCCTGCAGGTCCCTGCTGCCAGACACTTGTAGGTTTCGGCTCGGTCTCCTAGGTTCGCCTGCATGTTGTGTATATATTTATCACTCGTATCGCTTGGCTGTGCACCGCTCGATCGGTTCGGATCCTGCCCGTGCTATGTCAATTATTCAGGCCATTCGCCTTTCGGTGCGGCTCCCAACACGGGGACGCCAGAAGCTGCTTCTCGACCCCAAGGCGCTCCACAACAGCGTGGTGCAGGCGCGCGGGGGGGAAGGAGCGTAGTGTGGGACGTGGGACTCCTTCGGCTACGCTCCACCTCCTCCACACCATCATCATGTTTCTCCTTCTCCTCCTCCTTCTCCTCCTCTTCAGATTCCGCCTTCTCCTCCTCCTCTTCCTCCTCCTCCTAGTCGTGGTCCTCCTCTGCGCTTTTACACATTCTCGCAGCGAGGCAGCCATATACTCTTCGATGCCGCTTTGCTCTTATCGTGTTACTCATCGATGCTGCTCAGAGCTGATACCAGTAAGGAACAAGGAAAGAGTTCATAGCGGCACATGTGCGAGACTGAGCGAGGGCGCGAATGCCACTGTTTGTTTACAAGCGTCGTTGGCGAGCGCACTGTGATATTTTCACCACTGAGGGAAGTTAGCGAAACCAGCTGCATCGCTGTGCGAAGCTTCAAGTGCCCATGGAGGAACCAGAGTAGCATGAGGACGAGGAGGGGACAAAAGCGAGAGACGAGGACCAGGAGGGAGAATGAGGAGGAGACGGAAGAGGAGGAGGAGGAGGAGGAGGAGGAGGGGAAGGAGGAGGATTTGGAGGATCAGGCATGGCGGAGCGGCAGATCGACGGGCGAGGGGGAGAAGCATAGACTGCATTGAAGGGGGATCATAGAGCCAGCTGGAAGGAAAAAAAAAAACAAAAAAAAAACAAAAAAACAAAAAAACGTGGCCAGAACCATCCGACGGATGCCGATAAGTATAGTTGGTGATTGGGCTTTGTGGTATGCCCTGTCTACCGATGTCCACCCGAGGAATTCGTACGTGCTTAGGCTGTCGTCTCCAGTCGAAATGCCGCCCACCGCGTCGCCCTGACGCTGTGTTGTGAAGGCGCTTGGGTGAAGCCACACATATCGCAAGCAATTTCCCATGATTGTCCT